GCTAGAGCAATGATCCTGATTTTAATCACTGATGATGAGAAACAAATTTTATAATTTTGGTACATATTGCAGTTCATATATTTTAACACTGTATTTTATGGTGTTATAAATATTGTTAAATGACTTTTAGTGTAGTTTTATTGTGTGGACTATAATGTATAAATTATATTACCGTTTTGGCAACAGTAGGTATCCAACTGTGTGAGTTTAATTGAAGTAAAGAACACACACCCGCTCGAACTATTATTTTTTCCTTTGCATGTTTAGATGTTAGGTTGGAATACTATAAAAATTATATTCTACAAGAGGAGACTGATACTGGCCTCTGCTAATTGTTAACAAAAGGGAAATCTGAATCTAAAAGAATAAAAAATTAAGATGTCATGTTTTCTCTTTGAAAGCAATTACCATTGTAATCTGAATTGTAGTAGTAAAACATCTTATATTTCACACAAATGGAACTACACAATGTAACTGCTATCTGAAAATGCAAGGGACAGTTCATGCTTCTGTAAAGCCAGAAATTACCTAAATTTTCCATGAAAATGGATTAGAGTCCATTATCCTTTTATTTGCCACGGGATAATCAAGCCACAAATATATCACAAAACTAACAGAAACTTGTGTCAAGTTTACTCTTTGAACTTTGCAGACTATTAGTTCTATGAATATATCATGAGCTCTAGATAGATAAAGGATGGCGTACATGCACGTATGTCAAATTTGTACTGAACAATAAAGTTGGTAGGCAAATCACCATTATAAATAAAGAAAAAAACAAAAATACACAAAGCAGAAAAAGGATTGTTGCAATAACACACTTGAAAGTAATACATACTTTACAGATAACATTTACATTTTTGTGATTATGTAAGTAAGACATTCTCAATGTGGGGAATTTGGAAAATGCAAAGGAGAATTAAGGAAAAAATTTCCTGCAACATTACCATCCAGAGATAACGATTGTTACTATTTGACATATTTCCTTTCAGTCATTTGCCATGTGTATGTACATGTTCATTTGAATTGTGATTGAAATTATATGTATACAGTTTTACATCTGCTTTTTCACCTAATATCATCTCATCTGATGAACATTTTTCTATATCAGTGAATACTCTGGAAACAAAAATTTAATTGAATCATTTGTATGTGTTGATACTTTATTAGGTGTTTAAGATGTTTCTAATTTTTAACTATTATGAATAATAAGACAATAACTTTGTACATAAATCTGAATTTTTGGTGATGCCCTTAGTAGAGATGCCTAAAAGGGGATTGCTGGTCCAAAAGGTATGAATCCTGGTCAGGTTATTGATGTGTGTTACTTTGCCACACTAAATTCTGCTCAGTAAATATCTACCCATATCAGTATGTGACATTAAAAAGAAGTGAGAGATTTAAAAGAAAAAAAAAAGTGAGAGGCAGTGTTGCACAGTGGGTGGATGGACAGATAATATTTGTATCTGAGCTTGGCTTCCCCATTTGGGTGACCTTAGGCAAATCATTAAACTTCATGTTCACCTCATGCATCTCAGAGAAAAAGGGAAATAAATGCTTACTTGTAGGATTAATTGAAATCATTAATGTACTCTCAAAGGATGGATTCTACTATTTGGTATAGGGTAGGCATGCAATAAATATTTAACAGTAGTATCTGGTTTTATTATGCATTTCTTTGAATAATAGTGAAAGTGAACATTTTGCAAATGTTTATTGACCATTTGTGTTTCTTCTTCTTTGGATATTTTTCATATTCCTTGTACTTTTCTTAATTAGAATTTCAATAGAATGTGTGGGTAGCAATTTATTTAATGATGCTTTTAATCTTCATTTGTCTTATATTTTGTCAGTGTTTTTGTAGTTCTTTACCTTTTTTAAAAATAATAAATTTTATTTCTTAGAGCAATTTTAGGTTCACAGTAAAACTGAGCAGAAAGTACAGAGTTCCCACCTATACCCTGTTCCTACACATGTACAACCTCCCCATCCCCCACTATCAACATCTACATTTTGTTTCATTATGAATTTTTTTCAAAATTAAAATGACCAAAAAAAAAAAAAAAACACATGTTCATTTGTAAAAATTCAGAAGGTATGGAAAAGGATAAATAAAGAAAGGAGAAAACATTCCAGATATTACTACCCAGAAATAATCAATGCTAATATTTGGCATACATGTCAAGACTTTTTTAAATTATAAAATGGAATCACATTATACGTGCTGATTTTTAATATTTATTTGTCAAAAACCAAAATATGTCATAGTTTTAGGTCAATAAATAGCCACATTAGCAGAATAATATATTGATATTCCATTGTATACATAATATAACCAATATCCTGTTGATAGATTTCCACGTTAAATCTCCAGATATTGGGTGACAGAGCAAGATTGTTTCTAGAAACAGTGCTACAACGAATATTCTCACACAAACGCAGTTTTTTCCAAACATGATTTTCATGTGTAAAGGCTTTATATTTTTATATTGTAAAATCTATCTTTTTCTTTGATTTTTCTTTTAAAATGTGTCTTTTTGCTTAGTACCTGAGAATAGATAAATGTTCTGCATTTTTTTCCTAATCTGTTTGAAGGATATTTCTTCTTCTTTTGGAATTTATTTTAGTGATGATGTGATAGGAGATACTAATCTTGGAAGGAGTACTAAGTTAAAATTTTTTTATAACTGCCTCTGAGTTCTTTTATATTGTATGTGATTATGAAAGGAGAAACTTAAGTCATTATCAACTCGTTTTAGACTACTTCAAATGTGAGTAAATTCTTTTTTTTTTTTTTTTTTTTTTTAAAGATGACCAGTAAGGGGATCTTAACCCTTGACTTGGTGTTGTCAGCACCACGCTCAGCCAGTGAGCAAACCGGCCATCCCTATATGGGATCCGAACCTGGGGCCTTGGTGTTTTCAGCACCACACTCTCCCGAGTGAGCCACGGGCCGGCCCAAGAGTAAATTCTTATTAGGAGAAACAAATGCAGATTGAGCGCTTGTTTTGAGCTTGAAAATGAGATAATCCATGCTCTCACGTATAATCTAGTAAGGAAGATGAGGCATAGGGAACAATTCTAGAATAAATTATAAGCTAATTTATGCATAAAGGCCAGAGGTAGCTTCAAAGAATGTGCTGACATATTGAGAACTGCAAGATATTAATCAGGGCAAGCTTCCTTTGGGATGGCACTTGAACCAAGGTGAAAAGAAAATGAGGAATGAGGGGAACTAAAAGCCAAAGGTTGCTCCCTACATGCAAGCAACTTGGTCCTTGGGATGAACAACTCGTAAGGTAAGATTTCCCTTAGCAAATCCAAATCCTTTCCTGGCTAGGAAGAAAAGGCTATTTTGAGTAATGGAGAAATCCTTTCTTTGGAGGGAGTTAATTTTACATTGGAGTCTTACTTAAACCTCAGGAAACAAACCAATCATTAACCTGGAAACTGCTCATACTATGATACACAAGAGTTTTGAACTTTCACTTCTAACTGATGAGGCAGTAGGGCCTGAGGAAATAGTGGTTGTTGACAACATTTAAGAGTTTAATTAAAAGAAGGACAGGGATACAATTTTTCTTGGACAGACAGCTTTCTTATCTTCAAATTTTGAGACTTAAGATCATCATCTAAGACACTAAACACATAGCATATTTCCAGAGGGACATCAACCATCTCCAAAAGAGATCTCTGTGATCCCAGATGCAGTACATGAAGACAGAAAGAAGACTGAGGAAGTGGTACCTGACTTAGAAGAGTGGAAAAGGTGAACCTTAAGTGTCTGCAGAGGGGGATATGTATATGCAAAACAACCTGATGTCGTCTCAGAATTCCAGAAAAACTTGGAAGGCAGGGGTAGACCATAGGGCTGAAACCAAAATTGATTCCCATGCAAATTCCACCTACTCAATTTAATCTTCCTGATCATCTGGAAAGGTTTTATTTTGCTTCTGATTTTTCAGGGCACTCTGTGGGAACCTCTAATGTAGTATGTATCCCATAATTTATAGTATCATCATTCTTTATGCTCAGACCAAAACTTTTTTTTGAACAAGCATTTCGCAAAAGAAGATGTAAACATGGCCAACAGATAAGAAAAAAATGTTCAACATCACTAATTATTATGGAAATACCAATTAAACCACGAGATATCACCTCACACTTTGGTAGATCAATTGCTTGATAGATTGATAGATAAATAGGTAGGTGGACATAGAGAGATTTATTTCGAGAAATTGGCTACTGCAATTGTGGAGCTTGGTAAGTCCAAAATCTACAGGGTAGGCAGGCAGGCTGGAGACCCAGGGCAGAGCTGCAGTTCAATTCCAAAGGCAGTCAGCTGGCATGAATCCTTCTTGCTTGGGGGAGGTCAGTCTTTGTTCTCTTAAGGCCTTCAACTGATTGGTTGAGGCTCACCCACATTATGGAAGATCCACCAATTTCAGTCTCATTCGAATATTAATCTCATCCAAAAAACACTTTACAGAAACATCCAGAATAATGTTTGGTCAAATGTCTGGGCACCATAGCCCAGCCAAATTGACACCTAAAATGAACTATCACGAGCTATTTTATTTTAACCACATGCCAATAAGTTGGCTATGTTCATTAAAAGAAACTCTCTGTTACAGAAATTAGGCCTGGGGTTGCTTCTTTAACAACATGGTGGCTGGCCTATAATAAGCACTCAGTAAATACTTGTTAAATGAATGATAGTTTAAAAAAAAAGATTTGATCATTATCACTTTTGTCTTGTTCCTTAGAGAAGCCACTTCTATTAGAGTGAGTTGTTAGTTCATTTATGTAACACTTGAGTTTTAACTACTAGGCATTTAACAATTTCCAAAATATTTTCTTTTACATAAATAACTTTTATTACATTGTTATGTTAAAGTATGGAATTTAAGGTAATGTTAAGGTTGTATAATAAAAATATGCACTATGCTCTAGTAGTAAGAACTGTAACCTCTATTATTTCTGTGTTTTTATCTCTCTAGATCTGAAATAGCTCAGCTCAGTCAAGAAAACAGGTATACATATGAAAAACTGGAAAAGTTACAGAGGAGAAATGATGAATTGGAGGAACAGTGTGTCCAGCATGGGAGACTACATGAGACAATGAAGCAGAGGTAATAAAGGTTTAATAATCAGCTCAGGTGTTATACATGGAATGTGTTTGGTTCACAAACAGAAGGGGGATTGCTGTGGAATAAATAGAATTCATGATCATTATGCTACTCCCAGGACATGCTCAAAATCAAATACTTTTATGGATTTATGCTTCCTCAATTTAGGTTGTTCTTATTATATACAAAGAGGAGAGCACAGCCCCTTTTTACTATTCTCTAAAGATACAGAATTAGATTTAATATTGAGCAGTGGAGGAAAACCATCAACCTTTAAGGTATAAGTTGGTGATATTGTAATATGGAGGAATTTCAAAACTTCTCTTCTAGAAATTAGAAGGCTTTTTGTATTGTAGGCTTTTTGTGAGGTTTAACATGTACCAGGCCAAAAGAGATTAAATGTCTTATCAGAGGTTGCACCAAGATAGTGTTGCCAGAGTCAGGACTTTACTACAGACCATTTGCTTCTTTCCAGTGGTGTTACTTTGGAGCTATTCTCTTAACCTCCCTGAGTGTCTGTTTTTTCACTTATACATTGGTGCTAATAATATCCACATTGCACTTTATATAAAGATCAAATATAATATATGTAAAGCACCTGGCTCATAATAGCCACCAACTAAATGTCATCAAGGATTATTGCTCTCTTTTTCTAGATGAAGAAACTCAGCTCAGAGAGACTAATGGAAGGAATAAGTGGTAGTGTTCAAACTTGAATCTTGATCATTTGACTGCAAATTCCTTTCCTTTTTTGTGCAGTATTGGTTTCTTTTTTCCCCCCATAATAAACACAGCCCCCTATTATTTTTATAAATGTGCCATTTGTAATTTCTGTGTAATAAAGGATGCCCCAGGGGAGAAAAAAACTCAGTATTTTATAGCAGACAATGAATTGGTTTCCATAGATTTGGACTTGCAGTGGAAATGTTTTCTTGGCCTCCAGCTCCCCATCTCCACCCAGTCCCTAGTCACCCCATGCCTTCTCTCTTTCAAAAATAGTTGTTAAACAATTTAGAGAAAATTAGAATGTTTATAAACTCCTTTTTTATTTTTTTTAATTTAAAATACATTTAGAATTCTGAGAGAAGGGGAAGGTATTTTTACAACTTTGATTACTCACTATATTGAATAGAAGAAAGGCAGTCTAAAAATGGCACTGCTTTTCAATTGCCAAAATATTAAAATGTGGATATACTTGCAAAGTAATAATTATTCATTCATTAACTTATTAAAATATTTACTTAAGCCCAGATACTGCTCTAGGCTAGGAGTCAGCAAACTTTTTCTGTAAAGGAACAGAGAATAAATATTTTAGGCTTTGCAGACCAGTCTCTGCTGTCTAGTCTTCTTTGTTTTGTTTTAGTTTTTTACAACCCTTTAAAAAGTGAAGACCATTCTTAACAAGAGGGCCAACAAAACAAGACAGAGGATTTGGCCCTTGGGCTTTTGTTTGGCCCAGTACTAGGCACCCAAGTCTTCTTTCTCTCACTTTTCTTACCTTTGTATATTGCTTTAGACTTCACAGAATGCACTCACACATATTGTCTTATATACCTTGAAGCAAACCTGGAAAGTAGCTGTTCATTTCCAGATGGAGAACTAAGGCCAAGAGAGATAAACTTGCCAAATGAAGGTCAGATAGCAAATTAATGATTCATTCATTCAGCAAATATTTATTGATTGCTACTATGTATCATATTCTCTACTAACACGCTGGCATAAAGTAGCAAAGTAGATATAGTTCCCACTCTAATGGACCTTACATCCTTATAGGGAAGATGGATATTGACAAAAGAATTTCTCAGATGTCTGATTCATTACAATAATGATCAGTTCTATGAAAGAGAAATGTACTTCGTGGTACAAGCACATTTAATAAGGTGACTTATCCTGATCAAGAAAAGCTTCAATGAGAAAATGACACTTGAATCTGTAAGCAATAGAGCAGAGATTATTAGAGCAGGAATTGGCAAATTATGCCCCAGCCCACAGTCCATTTTTTATGACCCAGGAACCTGTCATTCTCGTTTGTTTACCAATTATCCTTGGCTGCTTTCTTGCCACAATGTCCGAGTTGGCCCACAAAGCCTAATATATCTACTGTCAGGCCCTCTCCTAAAAAAGTTTGCCAGCTCCTGTTCTAGAGAAAGGAAAACTATAAAATTGAAGGTCTGGAGGTGGAAAGGCATGGCACTTTTGAGGAACAGTTAGAACTGTGTGTTTACCATAAAGAATGAAGGAAAGAATGGCATTACAAGGAGACTGAAGAGGTAGGCCAGGGCCACACCTGAAGGTGGAGTCTGGAGGTTTTTTGTTTTTTTTTTTTTTTCCTTTTTGTCTTTTTTCATGACCGGCAACGGATAGCAACCCTCAGTGTCGCGCCCGTACCGGACTGGGACCGGCAACAGGATCGCAACCCTCGGTGTTGCGCCCGCACCTCGCTCAGCCAGTGAGCGGCCGGTCTGTATGTGGGATCCGAACCCTCGGCGGGAGCGTCGCCACACTCCCAAGCGGCGCACTGTAGCAGTGCGCCACCAGGCCGGCCCTGGAGTCTGGAGGTTTTTATTATGGACCTTTCATTTGGTCCTATTACTAATGGGAAGAAATCAAAACATTGGTTTTAAAATAGAGGAGAATGATGTGATCAGACTTGCATTTCAAGAATAGCATTCTAACTCCAGAGTAGATTGGAGCAGAGCTATAGAACTTACCCAAGACCAGTTAGGGAGCTAGCGGAGTAGTTAGTCCAGCAATGATGATGGCTTAGACGGCAGTGATAATGACAGTGATCAGAAGTAA